GTTGTTGTTGTTGATGATATTATTATTGTTGTTGTTGTCTGGACATTCTTTCTGCTGCTGGCTTTGTCTCATACGATATTTGAAGCTTGTCTAATATATTCTGTACAAAGCAAAATATATATATATATTCAATCATCATTTTAAGGTAATTTTCTGTCATAACACAACTAACTACTGCAAGTATGATAAGAAATAATAATTTTTATTATGACCTTAATCTAAGAGGAACCAGATCAGATAAACTGGATAATTACTGTAAAATGAATGAATGAATGAAAGGTTTATTGTTAAAATATCTGTAAAATATCGTCAGGATTTTAAAACACTGAACAGTAATTTTTTTATTCATATTTTTACTACGAATTAGTCAGCGTCTATCATAACACAACACATTATGTTACTGCAAACAGAGTCAGATGTTGTACTTATGATTTTTCTTTTAAATATATGCATGTTTATGTTTCTTTAAGCTGAAAGGGCGAAAACACAGATTGTGAGATTTGCGGTGACGTCCGCTGGATTTCTGAATGAATCTGCAGTGATGGAGGCTATAGAGAAGAAGCTGAGACGAACCTTGACTGCACTGCGTGCATCTGAACGTCAGCAGATTGATCTCGTTCACTAATCGCAGCCTCTCGGATCAGCAGATGGACTCTGGATCCAGTGTAACGTGGAGAGTCCCGCCTGATGGACTGATCTTCCAGCTGCAGGAAAAACACACATGAAACATGAACAATCATTCACTGCTGTCTTTTTGAACACTGCTACAGTATGTTTAGCTTAGAGCCTCTAAAGCTAGTTTTAGGAATGGAAATGTCATGTCATTTTATGCAGTACTCTAACATATAAAAATAGATAATAGGTTATTTTAAATTATTTATTTTTAAATGAAACATGTAGAGAACCTACTTTTTTTATTATCAATAAATCATATTTTTATTGTTTCTCTTATTTCATACAAAAAAAAATCGAAAATGAATGTGTAGTTAAGTAGTCACTTACCAGTGCAGTAAATTTGGCCAGAAACTGTTAGTATTACTTCATATCACTTCAGTAAAATGTCATGTGATTATTATGACATTACTAATGAACTAAAGTCACATTAATTTTATTCTGTTGTTATCATTTAAATGTGTTAAAATTTCTGTAGTTACATTTTTTTTTTAAATTTAGACAGATTATAATATATAATGATTTTAATAGCATAATACGCCTGTTTAATGTAGGTTTGATATATTTTGACTTATATTGAGATACATTTCTTTCATTTATCCCCCCCCCTTTTTGTTCATGTCATTTAACTTTTCACATTAAACTAAAACTAAAATAAATAAATTGCGCAATTTTCTTTATGACTGTGTAAACCAATCTTTGTTCTTTTACATGTAAAATATCACATTCATACTTTTATTCATCAAGGACGCATTCAACTGATCGAAAGTAACAATAAAGACATCTGTGATGTTACAGAAGAGTTATATTTCTAATAAATGCTGTTCTTTTGAACTTTCTATTCATCTGTGAATCCTGAAAAAAGTATCCAATTGTCCTTAAAAATGTTGGGCAACACAACTGTTTTCAACATTGATAATAATCAGAAATGTTTCTTATAATCAGCATATTATACTGATTTCTGAAGATCACGTGACACTGAAGACTGGAGCAATGATGACATTGATCACAGAAATAAATTACAGTTTAACAGAGATTCACATAGGAAACAACTGTTTTAAGTTATACAAATATTTCACTGTTTTTATTGGATTTTTGATCAAATAAATGAGCGTTGGTGCGCAGAAGACAAAATCTTACTGATTCCAGGCATTTTAGATGGATTTGTTTCCTTGCATACAATAAAATACTTTGATTCTCTGATACTCAGAGTCCAGCGAATGGAGATCGAGATGAGAGTATCACAATCAGAGAAAACAACGTGTTACCGAACGTAAAGAGTTTAACCAAAAGCAACGGCATTCATCAGACGCTTGAGTTTCCAGACGATCCTTTCCCAGCTCCAGACTGGGTTTTGTTCCCTCCACCTGATTTTTATAGAGACAACACACCAAATGGCTTTCAAACCACATCAGCATCAGGCGTTTGGGGTGAAGACACAGATATATTCCAGCCTTTTAAAGAGAAAGCAGACCTGGATGTGTCACACAGCAGCTCAGCCAATCAGAACACAGAATCCTGCTCTTCGTCCAATCAGAGGGATCCTCTCCTGGAATTCATCCAATCCAGACAGAAGAAATTCCAAGCCACGCCCTCCCCAGCTTCACCATCCGATCCTGCCAACGTTCTCCCAGAAACATGCACTAAAACGAACATTTCTAATACCAGCCCAGCATCTGATGATATTTTCAAGACGTCCCCGTCCACCGCAGGAACCAAAGTCTCCGACATCGAGGCGTTTGACCCTCTGTTTGACCCTCAGAACGAAGTTCAGTCCAAACACAAGAGCGATTATGATCTACTGTTCACTGATGATCTTGCTATTTCCCATGATGCTTTGCAAAATGGAGTCGTCCGAGAGACAACACCGTCCCCAAACGTCTCATATGGAGACCTGGTGAGAACGTCTTTCCAATTAAGACCAATTATGAACATCTTTCTAATGAGGACCAAACGATTTTAGTCCGTATTTGTTCTTTTTGAGCTCATATATTCTCCAAAAAATGAACTAAATTAGCATTTATACTCATATTATTTTGAGTGTTATTTTAGTATCGATAAGATCCTGTTTATTCGGGTAAGTTGGGACACCTTTTTGCCATCGACTGGAGAAAAATGGCTAAATTATCCTGAATTAACCCTATAATTGTATTCATATTTTGAATTAGTTTATTTATTTATTTATATATTTTATCTTTCAGTTTTTTTGTATTTTAAGTTAAACTAAATGAAATATTGACTTGGCCACCAGCTGAATTAAAATACGTTTAAATATAGTTTATATACATTTTCATCACTACAATAAACGAAATTGAAATACATTTCATGTATTGTAGTAATGAAAACCTTTTTAAATGGTTTTAATTTTAGTTTTAGTTAACTATAATAATCCTAACTCACATTTAAAATGTGAAGACTTGCTCTTCCAAAAGAAAATATTATTGAGCCTTTTATTTTTTTGTCTGAATTATTATTCAATTTATACTTTTAGTGTATTTTAGGGAGAAAAAAAATACAATCAACAATATATAGAATAATATAATATATAATTAAATAAATACATATTTAAATAATCAAGTGCCTGTCTGTTTGTGTGTTTGTTTATTTATTTATTTAAATGTACAATATTCAAAAATATTAACTATACATGTAGATTTTTGTCCAATAAAATGCTTTCTAGAAATAAGCAGCCCAGACTTCCTGTTTCAACAGGAAATATGTCAACACAGAAAGGAAATGTGTGCTCATCAGATCATTTCTTGGGGTCTTTAGGTCTTTATGAGACCCTTTTATTTCTCACCCTAAACGAACTGTGAAATCTTGTCTTCTCGTAGATGTCCAGGAGGCTCCCGCCCAAAGCTGCTCCTCGCAGTAAAGCCCTGAAGAGCCTCCTTCAGCCTCCTGCTCTCTCTCAGGTACTGTAGGTCTCCTTCAGTTTCCCTTTATGCATTTCATTTTCTGCATAGTCTTTCTGTGAGGGAGATGAACTCTAGCTGATGCTCATCGACAGCGTCTGATGTTATTTGATAATAATATTCACTTTTGTGCTGCCACTCGATCAGATCCAGACGCATTCATTCTTTCAGGTTTCTCTCGCTTTTCTGCCTTTCGTGAAATCACGTGCCTTTTATTTACATCACTGAATATTCTTTCTTTTTCACTGGGTTGTTGCATGTTTGAATCTACAGTAAATGTAATCTGGGATGCTTCACGTGTCGTTTGTGTGTTGATATCTAAGCCATTCGAGTCCAGATGTTTGTGACATGTTTGCTCGACAATGTGTTGTTATGATCAGATGATGCCGGCTGAGATAGAGAGCGATCTGCAGGTGTTTGAGGACGTTCTTCTCATCGGTCAGGTGTGTTTGCTGCATCCCAGTCAGTCCCTGTGTCTCTGGGTGTTTCTTCAGCTTTTATTTATTTATGTATGTATGTATGTGTATGTATGTATGTATTCATGTATGTATGTATGTGTATGCATGTATTTATGTATGCATATATTTATGTATGTATGTATTTGTTTGTTTGCTTTATTGATTTTTAAATTTTTACATGTGTTTATTTTATATATATATATATATATATTGTACAGTAAATGTAATCTGGGATGCTTCACGTGTCGTTTGTGTGTTGATATCTAAGCCATTCGAGTCCAGATGTTTGTGACATGTTTGCTCGACAATGTGTTGTTATGATCAGATGATGCCGGCTGAGATAGAGAGCGATCTGCAGGTGTTTGAGGACGTTCTTCTCATCGGTCAGGTGTGTTTGCTGCATCCCAGTCAGTCCCTGTGTCTCTGGGTGTTTCTTCAGCTTTTATTTATTTATGTATGTATGTATGTGTATGTATGTATGTATTCATGTATGTATGTATGTGTATGTATGTATTTATGTATGCATATATTTATGTATGTATGTATTTGTTTGTTTGCTTTATTGATTTTTAAATTTTTACATGTGTTTATTATATATATATATATATATTAATGGTTTAAATATTTGTGGAATATAATTTCCATATAATTTTTATACATTTTGCCTAATTTCTGTAAATAAGAGGCATTTCTAAAAATATATATATATATATAAATTTATAAATTAAAAAAAATCTGCAGGCATGTGGAAAAGTCACATGACACATGTTTTAATTTGACTTTCATGTAACAACAAGGAAAAAATAATACATAAAAAAATAAGTAAACAAAAGTTCCTGTAGTGGAAGAAACACCCTCATGTGGATTCATATTTCTTCAAATGGTATGTGTGATTTGCAAAACAAATACGCCTACATACTTCAAACATGCTTTACAGGAAAGGTGTGTGGAGGACTGGCCTGAACACAGTCCGGAGCTCTCTTCAGAGTGGAAACCTGTAAGTTCTCATGATCTGAAACACATACAGCAGACCGGCGCAGAAACACACTCACACTTTCTCTGTTGCAGGCGGGGAAGTTCAGGCTTCGGAGAGACTCTGTGCAGGTGAGTCCCAGCTCTGTCTGAATGCAGATCAGGGCAAATACAACTATTACAACCTTTTTTGTCAGTTGAAATAAAGCTGAAATTAAATTTCATAGAAATAGTAGATGAACAACTTATTACAAGGCAATATGTTGCTTACAAACAAAGTGAGGGAAAGCTTGATCAAAGTTCAAGCAATTACAGACTGGAAATGAATAAAAACTAGAACTTCAATGGTTTTTATTTTAGTATTATTAATATTTTAGATACACATTAGAATATTTAGATTTTTTTATTTCTGTTTTAATTTTAATTGTAGTTAAATTGTTAGTTTTTTTTTTTTTGCAATTGTATTAGTCTATATAGTTGTAGCTGTATTATTCTATAGTTTTTATTTAGTTATACCTGGTTTAGTAAGATTTTATTATTCTATTTTATTTCAGTTAATGTTTATTTTAATCCAAGTAATGAGCATTTTTATGGTTTTAGTTAATTATATTAACCCTGACTGCAATTAAAATAAATAAATAAATGAACAAACAAACAAATAAATAAATAAAATGCAACTAAAAACTGAAAAAAGCACATAAAAAAATAAATTGATGAGTAATAATAAAAATAAAATACTAATAATAGTAATGCTAATAAATAAGTGATTAATTAAATTATTTAATAGTTAAAAACAAATGTCAATTTGAAAACTGATGGTAAAGATGGTAAATTAAAAACTGAAAATATAAAAATACAATTGAATATATAAAATATTAATAAAAATTATAATAGTATATAAATAATACTAAACACTGATGCAGTTCAAAACTTCTCACATTCCCAAATCATTTAACAACAAAAAAGCTTTGTCTTTCTCTTTATTTATTCCTTCCCTTTCTAGCTCGTACTTAGTGTAAGTCGCTTTGGATAAAAGCATCTGCAAAATGACTAAATGTAAATGCAAAAATATACATTAAATAAAAGAAAATAAATCTCTGCAGGCAGTAATTAACCTCAGAAAACATATATATCCTCCATGCATATATTTAATGTAGTCTAGATTGTATTTTCTTTTACCTTTTTGTAGATGTTTTGACGTATTTCTATGTGAAACGGGTTAAAGCACAAAAAACGTTAGCAAACCCACAATAATGTCCTGACAGCATTATTAAAATCTCTTTCCTAATCCTGCTGACTCTGGCAGATCTCAGGTGATGGGACGGTGAAGAAGAGCGGGAAGCAGGTACGGTGTGAATCTGTGAACTCTGTGTGACTTTGACGGCGTGTTTGTTCTTCTTCACGTGTGTTTGTGTCTCTGTTGATCTTTCAGACTCTGGGAAGGAAACTGAGACACTCGCTGCTGATCAGGAGGAGCTCAAAGGTAAAAGACAGGACAAGTGTTCATTTATCCACGCATCTGCATAAAAATTAAACATGTACGGGGAATTTTCTATCAGGACATTACCTTAAGAACAATTCCTTTAACACTACAACACAACGCAGTGTATGGAAACATATACTGTATATATATATTGCCTCTAAATATTAAAAAAGGTAATTGTACCTTTTTATCTCACAGTTCCGACTTTTTTCCTCAGAATTCTGCGAGTTTATATCTCACAATTAATAACTCGTAATTGTAATTGATTGCCGCTGCCTCAGTAAAGAAAGGAGGGAAGAAAGAAAGAAAGAAAGAAAGAAAGGAAGAAAGAAAGATAAAGAAAGGAATGAATAAATGAAGAAAGAAAGAGAAAGAAAGAAAGAAAGGAAGAAAGAAAGATAAAGAAAGGAAGGAATAAATGAAGAAAGAAAGAGAAAGAAAGAAAGAAAGGAAGGAAGAAATGAAGAAAGAAAGAAAGAAAGGAAGGAAGGAAGAAATGAAGAAAGAAAGAAAGGAAGGAAGGAAGAAATGAAGAAAGAAAGAAAGGAAGGAAGGAAGAAATGAAGAAAGAAAGAAAGGAAGGAAGGAAGAAATGAAGAAAGAAAGAAAGGAAGGAAGGAAGAAATGAAGAAAGAAAGAAAGGAAGGAAGAAATGAAGAAAGAAATAGAAAGAAACAAAGGAAGGAAGGAGGGAAGAAAGAAAGAAGGAAGGAAGAAAGAAAGGGGAAAAAGAAAGAAAGAAAGGTAAGAAGGAAGAAATTAAAACGAAGGAAGGAAGGAAAGAAGAAAGAAAGAGAAAGAAAGAGGAAGGAAGGAAGGAAGAAAGAAAGAGGGAGAGAGAACGAAAGAAAGAGGGAGGGAGGGAGAGAGAGAGAGAGAGAGAGAAAGAAAGAAAGAAAGAAAGAAAGAAAGAAAGAAAGGAAGAAAGAAAGATAAAGAAAGGAAGGAATAAATGAAGAAAGAAAGAGAAAGAAAGAAAGAAAGGAAGGAAGAAATGAAGAAAGAAAGAAAGAAAGGAAGGAAGGAGGGAAGAAAGAAAGAAGGAAGGAAGAAAGAAAGGGGAAAAAGAAAGAAAGAAAGGTAAGAAGGAAGAAATTAAAACGAAGGAAGGAAGGAAAGAAGAAAGAAAGAGAAAGAAAGAGGAAGGAAGGAAGGAAGAAAGAAAGAGGGAGAGAGAACGAAAGAAAGAGGGAGGGAGGGAGAGAGAGAGAGAGAGAGAGAAAGAAAGAAAGAAAGAAAGAAAGAAAGAAAGAAAGAAAGAGAGAGAGAGAGAGAAAGAAAGAAAGAAAGAAAGAAAGAAAGAAAGAAAGAAAGAAAGAGGAAGGATGGAAGAAAGGAAAAAATAAAGAAAGAAAGGAACAGAAAGAAAGAAAGGAAGGAAGAAAGGAAAAAAGAAAGAAAGAAGGGAAGAGAAATAAAGGAAGGAAGGAAGGAAGAAAGGAAAAAATAAAGAAAGAAAGGAACAGAAAGAAAGAAAGGAAGGAATCTTGTGTGGAGAGGTGTTCAGGGCGGGTGTGGGGTGTTTTTTCAAACCTGCAGTAGAACTCGTTCAGATCGTCTGCCAGGTGTTGATTCTCCACAGTGCTGGGGGATGGTGTCTTGTAGTTGGTGATTTCTTTCAGACTTTTCCACACTGATGCTGAGTAACTGGAAGAGAATTGAATCCTTATTTGTTCAGAGTAATTCATCTTTGCCACTCTGATCTCCTTTTCCAGTGTGTATTTAGCCTGTTTATACAAGAC